ACTCAGATCAGCAAAATATCCCATTCTAGGAAAACTGTGTCTTCAGCTCTGGGTTATGATGCACAAGTGTCTTCACTGCTTAGCTACAGGAAAAGCAAATTTCTGCTGTGACATTTCTGTTAAGGATCATGGCCAGCTGGAGAATGTAATAGATGTAATTACAGCTTTTTTTTTTTTTTTTTTTTAACTCCCCTCCCATTTAATGAACTACCGTGGTTGTACGTGAGCTCTTAATTTTTTTTTTTGTTTGTTTTCTGGGGAGGGGTGGGAGCGCATGCAGTGAACAGATGGACTAAATATGGTTGTTATAGGGTAAATGAGAAGCAATGAAAATGCAGGTTTTTTCTTACAGCAACCTGCCCTAGTTGTGGTGCCACAGTATGGCAGATTGTTGCTTCTAGTGCAGTATCTTGGTCTCACACTGTATTAATGACTACGGGCAACTAAAACTCTCCAAATTCTTCAGAAACTACAAAATACAAAAAATGCATGTAAGGTGAAGTGGACTGCTTTTTTTGTTTGTTTGTTTGTTGTTTTTTTTTTTTTTTTTTGAGAGAGAGATAGTTGGATACTTTATTGGTGTAGGCTTCTAAAGATCTCTTAGATGTCTTTCAGGGAACAGATCAGAAAAGGTATTACAAAAGGATGACTAAAAACAATCTTAATTTCCCTGCATACAGGAACAAAATAGTGGCGCATATCCACTTCTAAATAGAATCTAAAATGCAGTCTCTGATTGAATTTCTGGAAGAGGACAAACAGACAAAATAACCATGGAGTTCACATTTGTGCCAGTGCTTAAACTGAGAGCTGCATTTTTTTGTTGTTTTAGTTTCTCCTGTCTTGAGAGAGAGTATTCTTTTGTACTTCTCTCTTTTCTAATTGTTGGATCATTGAGAGATGTTTTAAGAACATCTATTTTTCTGATTTTTAAGCTCCTTCATAGCCATTTGAGGAAAAACTCTGGACTAGATGGATGTCTACTCTGATTTGGTAGCCACGTTTGTGTTACTGTAGTGAAATGAAAATACAGAACTTCCACAGTTTGGAGGTTTTTCTTTATTAGGACATATCAGCAAAAGAAAAATGTGATTTAACTAAAACATCCTAAATAATATTAGTATTATCCATAACACAAATTTTTGAAACTATATCTAAGAAAATCTGGAAAAATAAAGTATGCTTATATTGTTAGCTTTCTTATGGATGAGCTTAATACGATCTCTAATGCAAGACAAAGAAGAAATATGTTTAATATAAATTATACAAAGATTTTTAAAGAAAAAAATCTGCCTGAAATTCTTAGTCTTATTTCTGTGAGAATGGAAGTCTGGATAAATGGGAAACTGTCTTCTGAAACAAGATGACAGGCATTGCCTTGCATATTGATTTAACATTATATGCCGTGGGATTTCTATAGCTCAGAAAAATACCTGAATGTATTTCTGCCTAAATTTCTCTCCTCAGAATCTGTAACAATGGAGGGAGGGAAGAAATGTCAGTAGAACTTGCAGAAGATACTCTAGCGTGCAGTAGCTGAAGCAATGTGAATGAAAGATGTGGGATGTGAATGCAGTTCCTTGCTCTGAACTAACGCGCAAAAAGGCTACGATCTTTGCCTGCCACAGAGCATGAACTGTGTGGGCTGTCAGTTCCAGAAGCATGGTCAGCTTTGACCAGAATTGCTGTATTGTATCTCATGAGTGGGTTTAGCAGTTGCTGTACTTCAATTTTTTAGTACTTTACTTGCATGCCTGACAGATTGCAAAGGAAAAGCCATCACAGCTTTAAGGAAAGGAAACTAACTTTCCAAAGGGCTCTGTGTATAAAAATACTGACACTGTTTCCTACTTTCACCTATTCTTTTACTGAGTTGGAGCTGAAGCTTACATGTGAAAAAAACGTATGCAAAAGAGCAGTGTCTATGCCCTTCTTCAGGATTGGATCAGGAAAGCCTGTGTCAGAAGATATGATTGGAAGTTGTCTTTCTCAGATTTAAACTACTTTGTCATTTACTGTAATAGATGATATACAATAGCTTCCAGATGTTCTGCTCACTTGCACTGCCCAGCTACAGAGCTGAGGCTGTTCCTCCTAGCACTAGAATTAGGCATGATGATGAGAGCTCCTGCTGGGTCAAAGAGCACCTGTTCACTGAGGGCTATCTTTTATTCATCCTCCTTGGGACTGCTGTCTTGGCTTCAGTATTTGTAGGCCATCTGTAGCCTTTACATTTTTTTTAATCAGCTGCTTTCTGCTTGAGAAGCACTAATTTTGTCTTATGCACCACTGTCCCCTCTATGAGAGCAGCTGACATTGGCTGCCCTTCAGCAGCAATGGTCCTAGGCTTCCGTCACTGCTTTGTTGGTCTCTGTGCTGCCAGAGCTGTTACTGGACCTTCAAACTGTCAACATTGTATTTGTTTTTCTGAACCTGGCAGCTGATAACAGGCAGGTTGCTCTGGAGAAGGAGGGGCTATCACTGCAGCAGCTCTCCCCACCTGGTGTCTCTTTTCCCTCCAACTTCTTGGAGAGGTGCACTTTTCTACATACATGCATGGCTAAGCCATGGGGAATGAGGTGAGGGGCAGTCTGTTCTTGTGTGGTGGGCGTCACATGTGGTAACATGGCAATTTGGGGAAAACTGTACAGTGCTTTCCATTGTAAGCAACTGAACGTGGTTGTTTGGTTGATACTTTTAAGCTGCATGTACTATGTGCTGCTCTATGTGCTGCTATCTGCTGCGAAGAGAGCTTCCATTGAAGGAGTTGTAATGCAGGTCCAATAATATATAGTGGAGTTCCAAAACCAGAAGCTCACAATTTGAGGAGAACCACTTTGGTTTCACTGGATTATTTTTCAGTGTCTTGTATATTCTGGTTAGCACGTTTCCCCGTTTCTTTCTTTTTTATTTATTTATTTATTTTTCTTATCCCCTCCATTGCCTTTTGCAGAAGAATATGGTGAGTCAGATTCCTCTGACTTCAATTATTCTCCAAGTATTGTTTCTGGCCAGTTCGTAGTTCTCATGTTGTTGTTGATAACCCTGCAATTTTTTAGGTTAGATAACGTGCAGTTGGGGAATTTTGCAAGTTTCTGCTTTGAAATAAATCGCTGCTAATAAATGAAAGTAGTCAGAATGCACAACGTAGTTTTGAAAAGGCACCTAACAGGCTAAGGGAATACAGGTGAAGTGAGTTTGGTGTCATTTTTCCTTCTTTCTGTGAGCTAGAGGCAGTGGCAGGTTCATTAGCTGTTTTGATAAGAAACAATACAAACAAGTCTTTCTAAATCTCTTCTGCCAGTAAAGCTCCTGCTCCTCCTTGCTTTGGAAACAATCTTGCTTTACTACCTGTTGTTTTACTCTGTGCCATTACACCCTGTTCATTTCCCTCTTTTTTGTCACCTTATCTGTCCCAGGGAACTGTACCTTTTCGTTTTATTACATCAAATGGGAATATTTCCAGGATATGTACAGCTGTACTCTTGAACTTGTGACATTTAAAGGGCAATAGAATGCTAATGTGACTAATAAAACAGAAAAATGGCTTTATATAAGTCAGTGCAAAAATGGCTCAACCTGTCTTCTAAACGGACTAATTTCAACAACATTTGCTGATAGGGGCCTGGAGGGACACTGCAAAGCTCAAGGAATTGAGATAGAACTGTAAAAACAAAGAAAGCTGTTGTCATTCTCTTTTGCACCTTTAAAAGAGATCCATCCAATGTTTCCTATTATGGGAGCTCTACCAGCTATTTTCTGCAGATGATAATTCAGAAGGGTAAAAGGCTGCATATTTATGTGATTCTTTTGTTGTTTTTGTAGTTGTTCTGTTTTTGATTATTCAGTGAAACATTGTAATCTGGAAGAAATTTTATTATTTTTCTTTAACATTGATTTGTGGATTTCTGTTTGAGCACATAAAATAAGAGCTTCACATTTTAGAGTTCATTTTTTTTTCTGGCTAATGCTATGAGGCCTAGAAGGATTGCGGGTCACTTCCTTTCTGAATAGTAGTAAGGCTGCACTGATTCTCAGTATATGCCACGTAGCCACTGAGTCATGAGTTGATGTGGATGGATAGACAGTAAAAGAAAACATCTATCATTTTTACTTTTCTGATCTTATTGTTTTACCATTTTTGACCTTATCCTTCCTATGTTAATCGAGGTTTCTCAGTTAACATGAAAACCATAAGTTTTTCTAGGTTATACCAACAGTAAAAGGGCATTAAATAACAGTTTGTGATTATAACCCACAGTTATACTGAGTTATACTGAGTTGTGTTGTAATTCTGAATAGGGTGGGGTTGTTTATTTAGTGATATGATTAAAAAGGAAATTTGGGGATTGGAAGTTAGGAGTTGTATGTTAGCTAAAATTTGCTACTTTCAGTAAAAGAATGATAGTTTTCTTTCTATTTCTTTAATAACAGTAACAACAGAAAAACCCACAGTTATCCAGGGAATACACAGATACAGATCTTTTGTGACAGCTGTTTAAAAGTACTTTTGACTAATTACTATTAAAAGCTTATTAAAATATTTCTTTCTTTAAAGCAAGCTATGTTCTTTCATCTTTTTTCTTTTTCAGTAATGTGTCATCTATTAAGATGTTTTGATGTGGAAAATTAGTGCTTCAGGTTTGAAGAGAATGACAAGAATAATGTTTCAGTTATAATTTCAGAATTAGTAACACCAATTCACCCTTCCTAGTGGAAAAGAAACTTGGTCGCCTCATGAACTTTCCATGCTAGAAGTGAAGTTTTATCTCCACTCAAACAATCAGTCACACTGATGTTTTCTAAAACTTGATTTTTAGATATATAAGAAGCTAAATTCTAGTTTCTGTTTGCTGATGTACCTCAATTTTTTCTTCCTTTTCTCTCTGAGTGCCATGTTCTTGTTTTAATCTAGCCCAGCTTCCTGCTACTGTGAAGGAGGTTTTCTTGGGTGCAGTGTGTTACTGGAAGAATGAGTTAGCCCAACACGTCTACGCTGACTGTCTGACTGCATAAGCTAATGTAGGTACTGGGGTTCCAGAACTCAAGACTATGGAGCACTGTATAGGCTTATTTAAGGAGAAATATATGGAGGTAAATCTTTTCATGCTATTGTGAGAAGTCTTTCTTAACAGACTAGTATTTCCACAGCACATAAGATGATATAAATGACATTGGACAACTTTTCACTGAATAGCCATGTATGTAGGCATATCTTTCAAGAGCCTCCTATAGGTCAGAAACTAGATATGTTAACACAGTAATAGAATGTTTTTTTTTTTTTTTTTTTTCACTCTATTTGCTGCTGTTTATGATTTTACTCAGTATTAGTTACAAAATAAGTCTTTTCTTTGTCTGGACTAATGTCTCAATTTCTCCCATCAGCTTTTGACACCTATGCGTGGATTGTTTCACATTCTCACAGCAGTTCTGTTTTCCTTCTCTCCCTTTGACTCTAGATTTTCTCTGGGTATAGAAAGGACTTGTGAGTATGATTTTCCTTTGCTTACTTTCCAAATTTAACGTACTTCGGGAGATTTTTACCACAATCTGATCTCCAGTTGGGAATGGTTGGGGTCCACTCTTTGTAGATGTAGTGGTAATTTCAAGACTGCTCATAGTTAGGCTTGAAGATTGAAAAATTCTTCAGACTTACGCAGAAAATACGATTTGAACAAAAGTTAAGAAAAGCTAAGAAAAATTTGACATTGTTCAATAATATTTATCTAGCAAGACTGAATGTAATTCCTCAGATGGGTGGTACTATAAGAGGAAAGGATGTTTTCTCTCTATTGTGTTACAGAGGGGTGAAATATGTTCTAAATGAATAAGTGGCCTCTCAATTTAAATCCTACTTTTCATTGTCACTAATAGTTTTTTTAGTATTTTCTGGCAATTTCCATGAAATGTTTTCTCTCTATATGCTTTCCATCTTAATATGCCACACAGTATCTTCCCACAACTGCAGCTTTGTGATAGTCCATCACAATGCAGTTCTTTTGAAAGGATTTTTGATTTGTCTGTAATACTACAACATTTCTATTCGTGTCAGATACATGGCTCAAATAAAGACAGCTCTGAAAGATCCCTCTGATTTTTATCTTGCTGGAAATTTGCATGAGAACAGTTGTTCTTCCTTTCCCATAGTAAAAATTCAAAGGATGTCTATTTAAAGTGAGCTACGAAGAGTCCAAGGCATGAAGAAATTAACAAGCTGGTGTTTACCTGCTTTTTTTGGCTCTGTGATCATCTGGTCTTAAGTGGAACTGTTCATCTTTCTCACCTTTCTCTATCTGTTGCTCAAAGAGTATTGTTGTCTCTGGAACCTTTGTGAGAGGTAATACTGGATGTTTTATCCGTTGTTTATGTAGCTGTAGACACAACAGGCAAAGGGCAAACTCACGCTATAATAAATGTGTAGAATTTTGTAGTCTTTAATCTTAAGTTAATATGAACTTCAGTTTTACAACGTAATATGTGACCACAAGTGGTTATTATATTTGCAGTATATATCTTTTTCATCTGTGTAGTCAATATTAATGGGCTTGAGATCATAACCCATGGGCGATTATTCATTTTGGCAACACCTTTGCTTGAGACCTATAATGTTTCTCAAAAAATGTCAGAAATATTAGGATTTGCTAATGGTCTCCTATAGATGATGGTAGCCTTTCAAAATAAAAATCTATTTTTTTTTTTTTTTTTTTGTTTCTCACTAAATTTGTCAAAGAAGGTATATTTTAAAAAAGGTGTACTAGTACTACTTATAGGATTTGAACATTGATGCTAGAGCAGTTATCACACTGGAATAGGCTAGTGATAAAAACAATTTCTTTGTCTGACAACTGTAAGGATCTAGAGTTCTGTAGGAAAGTCCACAAAGGCATACAATAACTGTGTATACAAGCATGGCTGTGCTTAAAAAAGGTTAGTCTGGTTGGCAAGATCTACTAGGTTGTGCACTAAGAGCAACAGTGCTTTCCTGAGACTGTGAGTTGCCCTTGGCTCTCAGCCCTGCCAAATTCAACATGGTCCAGGCTGAGAGCTGGATTGATAACCATTGCATGCGTTTGTTTGCTTCCCTTACTGGTGATTGAGGTGCATATTTTTGTTTATTTCAGTCACTCAAGAAGGAAACTATCAGGGATGTGTGATAGTTGGGTAAACCCAGTCTTTTTTTTTCCTGGGAAATCACATTATGGGGCTTGGCTATTTTTTTCTGACTCTATAATTTGGTGGATATTTTCAGTCAGTTTTGACAAAATTTTGTTGAAAGAGGGATGGGGCAGTCTTTTCCTTTCAATGCTGTGTTTCTTTTTTTTTTTCTTTTTTTTTCTTTTTTTTTCCCCTTAACAAAACTTACATTGTGCTCTAAATTTTAGTTAAAAAAGTAGCTTCTCAGCTTGGCTCAGCAATCCAAAGACAATCCATACTACAGAATACTTACTTCCCCCTGTTGTTCTGCTATTAGAAATGCATCTCATAGTTCTTAGTTTCTACTCTGGGTAGAGCTGCTATTGGAGTCAAGGGCTTTCTAGCTCCAAATATTCCTCTATTCCTTCTTCTCTTCCTGTATGGACTTTGCTTTTTGGTGATTTATTCAGTGTACAATTTGTCTTTAGTCAGGGTGTTTACCCATGTACAGTAATTTCAGAACCAGAGAAAGTCTCAGTGTCCTTGTAGGATTTGGGATCCCAGTCCACGATCAGAAGATGCACAGTTTGAGTGGAAACTTACATTGTGTAAGCATCATACAAGATGTTTTTTTGGCCAACTTTTCTTTGTCTGCCTTTAATGACATCAAAATCTCACAAATATTCCATAAAACAGTGATCTTGCTTAGGTTTTATTAAAATACTAGTCTACCTCAGGCATCAAACAGATTTATTATGAAATTTTTGGGTTTTGAATAGGAAGAGCTGTAAGACATCACCTTCTTCCTCTGCCTGCCCTGACACCAGACTGGCTGTACCTAAGCTGACTCTGGGACCTATTTTTCTACCTTTGGTTAAAAGGCTGCAGTGATGCAGGTTCCACGGCCTCACTTTCCAGCCTGATTTATCACTTGGTTAGTTTTGTAGTTAAAGACTCTTTCATACTATCTGTTATACTTTTTCTTTGTAAACATTTTTCTATTTATCATCACAGGAAACTCTGTCTTTCTCTCTCTCTCTCCAGACAAACCAGTTTATTTATCTTTCCTATCAGGATGTATCTCCATATTTCTGAATCATGTTATTTCCACTGTGTTCTCTCCAATCTATCTCTATGTCTCTTACTGTTTGGTTTTCCAGACCTGTACTCAGAGTTGAGTCCATTTGAGGTTTCACAAGGAACAACCAGAGAAAATTCATGTCTTTCAAATGGCATGTATGTAAGCCTTTCAGTATTAGAAATACTGATGCCTTGCTAGTTATTTCCAAATTTTTATTTTCACATTTGGCTACTTTTTTGTGGATTTAAACACTTAGCTTTTTTACTATATTTTTATTTACCAGGATTTAAGGGGTGGGGGCTGAAGTGCAGTATTGGATAGAGGGGAGCAATATGGGAATGGCAACACTTTTTTAACTGGGCTAAGAGAGGGATTGTGGGTTACCTAATAGCTATGCCCAAACACAAGAAGAGAAGATCCACATGCTTCACAGAGGTGGGAGGATGACAGACAGTGGACGTGAGTGTAACTAAGAGAAACTGAGACTAGGTATAAGAGAAAAACAGTCGATCAGTGGAATAGATTGCCCATTGCAGGTTATGACTGCAGGTTATGCTGTCTCCACCCCTGGCTTTAACCAGTCAGATCTTGAAAATCTTTCGGAGCAGCCTGGTCTGATTCTTTGAGCAGAATGTTGGGCTAAAGATCTCTTGAGGTCCATTCCAACATGAATGTTCCTGTTATTGTTTCTTTGGTTCTTCTGGTCCTTTTCAGAAGGATATTGTACTAAATACTTTAAACATAATCCTGTTTCATTTTCAGTCATTACTGAAGATACTTCCAAACACTGGACTCACAGAAGTTCTCTCGGAAGTTCCATTTCAATCTTTGGAAAATTCCTAATAAGTTATTGAGTGTGTTTTAAAATCAGGTATTCATACACTGACATTTCTTTTGGATTGTATTTTGCTGATGTGACAACATAATGTGGGCGCATCAAAAAAATTTAAGTAGAATACGAATGTCATATATTTTCTACTTATCATTTATGCTAATCATTCTTACAAATATACCATATGAAACTGTTATGAGTTATGCTTGTTTTATCATTGGTTTTTATTAGCCAATTATCTTCTTAGTACTTGCAACCAATGATTTAGTTGTTACTTGATGGAGTTCTTCTAGTGGAGGTAATTTGAGTAACATACATAGGAATATTATTTTCAAGCAAGCACTACTCATTTGCTTCTTGGAGACATCTTTGTCTTCTGAATTATTAGAAATGTCTTTAGATCATTCCTGAGATGCTGTAAGGTGTACTTCATTATGTCTAGTTGTGTTAAAAATATCTGGCTTCCCTTCATTCTTTTAAGATATTCTTTCCTTATTCTAGACCATGCTTTGCTTCTCTTTGATGTCAGTTGTGTGATTCTAAAAAAAGGATGGAAAGGTCAGTATTTCAGTCTTATCTATGTCCTGTAGTATTTGCTCTCTTTCCACAACACACTGTGCATCTAAATTTTCTATTTTTTTCCTTATATTCAGTAAATAAGATTGAAGTGATAGAATTGTTTTTGATGGAATCACTGAACTTTTTCTTTGAAGCTTTTTATGTTCCTTGCTAGTTGTAACTCATTTTGTGTTTTACTTTTTGGCATCTTATCCTTACAGACTGTTTCACCCTAAATCATTCTAAGTCATGTGTCTGTGTGATTCCTCTCTGATTTTTAGGTTTATTAAAGAGTTATGTGAAAGTTGCAGAGCAAATTGGAAGGGATTTGGGAACAATGCACAAGATAAAGATTTACAATTACTAGTGTGCATCATTTTCTCTGCACTGTACAACAGCTAGGATAAACCCCACCTGTCTTTCAAGGTTACTAGAAATATCAAGATGATTTGAGTGTGGTGGCATATATAAAGACAGTTGAGTCATAATGCCTAGATTGCTGTGAACTTTTTTTTCACCCAGGGGTATGTATGACTGTTCTGAAATCAAAGCTGGCCTTAGGAAATCCTGAGGGGCCTTATGCTGATCATACTTGACTGTCTTTTGCAGATCTTAGAATTAATCCAATTGGAATTAAATTAAATTGCAATTACCATTTGATTTAATTGCAGTTAAATTATATGTAGGTTAAGTAGCAAAAATGAGGTAATGTCATTCTCAACAGACCTTGGGGAAAAAAGTTGGAAATGAGCCTTCCCACTGTGAATGATACAAGCTACCTCGTTATTACAGTCTGCTTCATAGACTTCTGGGAGATTACTGACTTCTTGGAAAGAAGAAATTTTGAGTATGAAGAACCTATTTTGGATCAGGAATGGAGTATCAAATTGTGTAAGTTAAGTGAATGGATCTTAGTATATTCGCAGTGAGTCTGTACTAATTGCCATAAAACATAAGCTGTATCTTACCAACATGTAATAGTAGTGATTCGCACCACTGTTAAACTATGAGTTAAAGCTGTTAAGGCTTTATTAAAGAAAATTGCAAATAGTGAAGAAAATATACAGCAAGCTATTCATTCTGTGAGTGAAAAGAGACAGTACTGACAGTTTGTTTAGCAGAGTGGTCATTACTGTTTCCCAGGTGTTCCAGGGCTGCAAAGAACATTAGGAGGAGCTACAGCAAAGAAAGTATGAAAGGCCAAAGCTTGCTGCTGCTGCTTCTACTAGACTTGCATAAATAGACATAGATGTTATTTGAAAGAAAATAAAACAAAAAGACAATCAGAAATGCAAAATAGAAATGTAATCTTGAAATTTTTCAAATTACTAGGAAAGAAAAAGCTCTTTCTATAGCCTGAGATTGTAAATTTTTTTTTTTCTCTTCATGTGGCTAATATAAAAATTTAAACCATGTAATAGAACAATGATTATGTAAGTAGGGCATGGCATTCCTGTTTAATTACCCCATATTGAACAGATATTCAACAGGTAAGGTTCTGGTGGATAGCTCCTCAATAGAGGAATTGTAGTGTGATTGCATATTTATATGTGAGATGACGTTGAGAAAGTGCTTAACAAGAGGGGACATTCAGTGGAGGAAGAAACAAATTGTCAGTGTTACAGTGGGTTGCTTGTCATCCTCATTTATGCTTGAGCACTGAGTTCTATCTCTGCCATGCTTTAGATGTAATGGCAGCTTTGCCAGTTTTTATGCACGAGCAGCTTGGTGAAAAGGATCCACACCCAATGGAAAGCTTCTCTGTCTTGAGCTCAGTGTCACTGCTGCCTTGTTCCATTGAGATTGCTGCTGGAGTTCCAGATGCAGGTCTGGTTATTGTTGTGTTCCTGCACTTCATTATTTTGAGGTGGTGCTGGTGCATGCAAGCTTGGTTCACAATCTGGCTGTGTGCAGCTGGATACTGGTATTGTATTTGGCAGCACTGTGTAAACCTCATCCACTTGGTGAAGTCATCTAAAATAATTATACTTTTAAATCTACAGAGCTGTTGCCAAACCATGTACTCATGAAATACAGATGCTGTAAATTTTCCATTCAGTTTTGCAGCTAATCTGCGATGCACAGAAGGGGAGCGAGTTGCATTATGAAACTTCCCCCTTGTCTTTTATAACACAGGAAAGCTTTAATTAGACATAAATGAGTTTGATCAATGAATCATTAACTTCCATTAAACTTTAAGTACATTGCCTGACCTGGCTACTTCATTCTGAATTTAATCTAGTACTTGATAATTAGAGTTAAAGGGACAAGGGCTGGAGGCAATCCTCAATCCTTCATGCAAAATGGAGTTGAGTCAGCTAATAAGTTAATTTTATAGTCAGTGTGTAAGGACAGAATTGATTGTAAAGCATAATTTTCCTAGAAAAGCAGATCAGGAAGCAGATTGTCGCTTTATTTTGTTTTCAGACTTACCTCAAGAATTACCTGTTCAAAGTCTTTCAGAGTCTTCACAGATCCTATCCTTATCACAGCAGCTGGAGGATTAAGTTGCATGAATGTGCAGTCGAGAAGCCTGTCTTCAGGGCACAAGAGCCTCTTATAGCTTTGTGAAAGCAGTGGTAGCTCTCCTTGTGGTTAAGCAAATTATTATGGCCTGTCTAGATCCACAGGAGCTGCATGGAGTGAAGGGATGGGACCTTCTTGTAGTTTTCAAACTTAGGAAAGATAGAGTCACTCTGCCAGTTTTGCCAGCACCTGTATCCAGAAGATCAATTTGTGTTCATTGTGTGTATTTGCTGTTTATATTTTTTACATTTATAAATTGCAGACTTGGTCACTTAGGTATCTCTACATGATGGTGCTGTGCAATAGAGATGTTCTTTGGGAGATCTCTATCATGCTAATCTTATATGAGGAACATTTGAATAATCAAAAGAATAGGCAATAGTCTGTCATTTAAAAGGAATAGATGAAATTCACAAAATCACAGAGTGGCCAGTGTTGCAAAGGACTTCAAGAATTGTGAATCTCCAAACCCCCACCACATGCAGTGCCACCAATCTCCCCATTTAATACTAGATTAGGCTGTCCAGAGCCCCATCCAGTCTGGCCTTGAACACCTCTAAGGATGGGGCATCCACAACCTCTCTGGGCAGCCTATTCCAGCACCTCACCATACTCATAGTAAAGAACTTCTCCCTGACATCCAATCTAAATCTTCCCTCCCTCAACTTAAAACCATTTCCCCTTGTCCTGCTGTTATCAACCCTTTCAAAGAGTTGATTTCCCTCCTGTCCGTAGGCTCCCTTTAGGTCCTGAAAGGCTGCAATGAGGTCACCCCATAGCCTTCTTTTCTCCAGGCTGAACAAGCCCAGCTTCTCAGCCTGTCTTCCTAGGGGAGGTACTCCAATCCCCTGATCATCTTTGTGGCTCTCCTCTGGACCCTCTCCAACAACTCTCTGTCTTTCTTGTACTCGGGGCTCCAGGCCTGGACGCAGTACTCCAGATGGGGCCTCACAAGAGTAGAGTAGAGGAGGACAATCACCTCCCTGACTCTGCTGGCCACCCCTCTTCTGATGGAGCCCAGGATACCATTTGCTTTCTGAGATGCAAGAGCACACTGCTGGCTCACGTTAAGCTTTTCATCCATCAGGACCCCCAGGTCCTCCTCTGCAGGGCTGCTCTCAAGGACTGCTCATTCTCGTCTGTATGGATACCTGGGATTCCTCCGGCCCAAGAGCAAAACTCTGCACTTTGCTGTGTTAAACCTCATTTGGTTCACCCAGGCCCACCTTTCAAGCCTGTTGAGGTCCCTCTGAATGGCATTCCTTCCTTCCACTGTGTCAGCCGTACCACTCAGCTTGGTGGCATCAGCAAACTTGCTGAGGGTGCACTCCATTCTGTCATCAATGTCATTGATAAAGATGTTAAAGAGCACTGGTCTCAAGACAGACCCCTGGAAGACTCTGCTCGTTACCAGCCTCCACGTGGATATAGAACCATTAATCACCACCCTCTGTCTGTGGCCTTTCAACAGATTTCTTATCCATTGAGCGGTCCACCCATCAAATCCACATCCCTCCAATTCAATTCTTCTCTTGCTTTTACACAAGTGAGTTCTCTTATGTCTCTTATCTGAGCTATAGTGTTCTCCTTTTCCTGGGCTCAGAGCAGTGCGTGCTGAAGGATGCTGGATGACCCAAATGTGGACTCCTTTTATCTTGTTTAGTGTTTGCTTTGTGCAACCTGAAGTATGTATCTGAATGTACTTCAGAAAATATTATATTGTCTGTGTAGAGTGCTGTTGAAACAGATAAAACACTGTAATATCTAAATCTCCAGTCTTTCTGTTGGGTTATTATCCTGTTGCTGGTGTCTATGACTGCTCACAAAATGCTGCTTTGATGGAACGGAAATTTTCACCAGAGATATGCTCAAATGCGTTTGAGAAAAATGTGCATGGAAGCTCAGGGTTCTTAAGATCTGACTAGTGTGATAAAGAGGAGGGTGGACGCATTGTCTCCCCCTCAAACCTTTGTTGGTGTGCAGGCTGCCCTGAAAATAATGTTTCTTATTTATTTTGATGGAAACAACAGAAAGAAGGAGCACAACAACACTACTTGATAGAGCAAATTATCATCTACAAATCACTAATTTTCAACATAGTCACCACCATTAGCTGTTCATTTTTGCCAGCAATTAACAAGAGCTGTATACCGTGCTCATCAAAATCTGCACGTGACCTGAAATCTGCTATTTCACAGCTGTCAAGTTGCTAAGAAAATGTTATCCATCTGTACTCAGACCCATCTTTCATTGGCCAAAACAGATGGGAGTCAGAAGGCACTAAATCCAGATTATATGGTGAGTGTGGTAGGACAATCTAGCAAAGATTGGTAATGTGCTCCAAGGTCTTCAAACTGGTACAGGGCCTGGTATTATCATGTTGCAAAAGGAAAGTTGTCTTCTTCTCTAGTTTGACTCAGGAAGTGAAAGCCTTGAGCTTAGTCAACATTGAGATGTAGTGATTTGGTTGGTGA